GTTAAGAGCACTGGCTGCTCTTGCAGAGGACCCAGGTTCGATTCCCAGCACTCACATGGTGGTTGACAACCATCTGTAACTCTAGTTCCAGGGGGTCCAATGCCCTCTTCTGACCTCCTCAGGTATTGCATGACACAGATGCACCTACCTACATGCAGGCATTACACTCATACACAAAATAAAAATAATAAATTTTAAAAAGGAAACTCAAGTAACTCAGGAAGTAGAAAAGAACTTAAAGAGATCAAACTCCTCTCATTAATTCTTAAAATAGAGATGTTATTGCATCCATACGACAAAAGCAGATTGCCATGGAGCAAGAAAAGCTAAAAAGGCAAGAAAGAACCCTTGAAAATAAAATGCAGTTGCCAAAATGTAAAAACATTTCAAGCCAAGTATGGTGACACATCTCTGTAATCCCAGCACTCCAAAGATGCAAGGCAGGAGCATTGTAAATTCAAGGCCACCCTGTCCTGCATAGCAAGACCCTGACTCAACAATAAATAAATAAAAATGAATAATAAATAACATTTCATTGGAAAGGATGGAAGAGTGAGTGAAGGAAATGCCCTATGATCTGCAGCAAAACCACAAAAAGGTGGCAAACCTCAAGCAAAAATAAGAGGTAGAGATTATTAACAAAAGTAGTCCATAATTCAATTAATAAAATGTCTAGGAAGGGAAACAAGACAATGAAAGGTTAGTGTATCAGTCGTGGTCTAGGCAAAGAGTGGGATTTAGTCCTGCTTAGTCAACTGGAGAGAACTTTTTGGGAAGTTAACATACAGCAGTATGGGCAAATAAACCCAGAAGTGGTAAGGCACCCAGATACAAGCAAAAGTACGAAGCAGTTCCACCTCACAGCTAAAGGACTAAGAGAGGAGAAAGCCATGTTAGCAGAGATGAAGGGCTGAAGGGCTTCCCAGGACCTGCTGTGCCACTGTCCCCAGACTGCCTGAAAACAGTGCAAGTAAGAAAGCAACATAGGCCTCCCTCTCCCTCCATGTCCAGGATCCTGTGGGTATCTCCCATTGACCAAGTCCAACTGGAGTCCCACCAGCAAGAAGCCACCCAGACTCACCAAACACAGAGATGAGCAGAGAACTGTGATGGAGGATGGTTCTAAGGGGGAACAAAGGACAGACTTTATCCCCAACCCATTCATGAGGGATACCAGGATCCCCAATGGATGCCCAAAACAATTGATATTATCAACATTTTAGATACATATAATTATATATATTATATAATTCTATAAACTATGTATATTTTTTAATTTTGTAAAAAATTTTAAAATGTGATTATTTTATATGTATGAGCATTATGCCTGCATGTATGTAAGTACATTCATGTTGTGCAATGCCCATGGAGGCCAGAAAAGGGTGTCAGATCCCCTGGAACTACAATTATGGATGGTTGTTAGCCCCCATATGCATGCTGGGATTTGAACCCAGGTCTTCTGCAAGAGCA